GGTGGCAAGGAAAAACTCCCTGAGATGGAGATAGGAAGAAACCTTGAGAGGAACCAGACTCAACAGAGAACCCATCCTCATATGGGTTAACAGGAGTGTGTGTGTGTGTGTAAATGTGTATTTGTGTAGTCCATAGAAAACATCTGAGGCGTCTTCATGGCAGAATGAGGCGCCGCCGGTGGACAGGTCCAGAGTGGTGATGTTTGGGCGGTGGGCATCTGGAACACCAGCAGCTCAGGGGTGTAACTCGGAGAAAGAGTAAAGGGTGCCAATACCAGTGTCACAGCAAGCTTTAATTTTTTCTCCCATTGTTTTTTGTTTTAAATGGTTGTTTATTATTTGCTCTTTTGTATCAAACACAAGTTCTCTATAGAAAAAAGCTCTTTCCACATTATGTACTTAAACTTCATGGGTGCCAGTAATGGTGAGCAGGACTGTATCTATTAATTCAAAAGGGAGTCATTTGACTTTGATTTAGAGATTACTAATCTATGTACAGGTTAGACTTCATGGCTTATATTATCAGTTGCAAGTTACAGAAGAATGTCCAGATTAAAAATACCATTTCTATTTTTTTTTTTGCCACAGGGCTTGACTACAAAAGTCAGCTCACTTTCGATTTGAATGAAGATACCCATACAAACAACAGTCACTCTGATGAAGATGACTTTTTTGCATCCATGACATCAGGAAACTCACTGACTGGAGAGCTGGAAAAGTACCTTCATGTCCAACCTCAGGTGGTATATCTTTTGCATTCTTTTCCTCAAATCAAGAAGTTGTCAGTCAAGATCAACACAAGTCTCCCAGCATCCGCAGAATGTGAGAGACTTTTTAGTCATGCAGGCCTTCTATTCACTGTGAAAAGATCCCGACTTGAATGCAAAAACTTTGAGAGTCAGCTACTTTTGAAGCTCAACAGTCAACTTACTGAGTGATTCTTTATGACAAGATCAATATTCACCCTCTCAAACACATGTGCACGCATACACACACACACACACACCAGACACACACAAAGATTCAGACAGACACAAATGGGCAAACATAAATAAGGACCAGGACTGTTAATTTTTAAGAGAGTATACAGTGTTGTGACTTTGGTTATTGGTTATTTATGTTAATAAATATGTTTTGATGAGATGTTATTACGATTCATTAAACTGTTTTGGAAGATTTATGAAACTAACCTGTGGCAAAATTTCCTTAATTTATGCTATTGGTAAATATATAATTTATTACTATTTTTTAAATTTAGAATATGATTTAGTACTTGAATGAGCAGATTTTATGTTGTGTTTTTTAGACAACTTTAAATTTTTATTTTGAGCATAACTGATATTCTGATAATATATAATACATGTAATACATCATAGATGTAATAGGGTCCCTGGAGGACTAGTGGTTAGGCCACCGTGCTCTAACACTGCGGTCTGGGTTCAATTCCCGGCCAGAGAGCGAACCCCAGCCACTGGGGTTTCCAAGCCTGGATAAAACTGGGGAGGGTTGCATCAAGAAGGGCATCCAGCATAAAAACGGTGCCAAATCAAAAATGCGGACCAATGATCCGCTGCAGTGATCCCTAACAGGTGCAGCCGAAAGAAGAACAATAACATTATAGATGTATTAAATCATTATATGAAGTTACTCACTACTTGAGTAGTCATTTTATGAGATTCTATTTATTCATACTCAAGTCATTATTTTGATGAGTTTTTGTCTACTCTACCCACCTCTGTCCCTGACACAGTGCACAAATATAATTGTGCAGTTGTAATGAAGGTTTAAGCAATGAATGTAAAAGAAAACAATTCAACATTTATCAAAAGAAATTTTTAAATAATGTGCATATTGAAAAATAATCTGTATGTGACAACCATTTGTACCCTTTTTAGTGACCAAGTTGATTCCATGCTGAATTAATATCTCTTCCATTAATAAGAGTCCAATTTTTTTTACTTTGGGGTACAGAATTCTATTTCCTTGACTTCGTTACATGCCGGACCACCTACTTCCTATATATCATTCTTGTCTTGTCAAGAACTTGAAAAAGTGGATTCAAAGACTGAATTAGACTCATTCTAATTCTTTGGTCCTTGTTAATAAGCCTAATTTTGTTATTGTTAAATATGCATCATCAAATTAGAGTGCAATGACACTCTCATTTGAAGGTGCAAATGACAAAAATGTGAAAAAGGTGACAGTAATTCTAGTATTTGATTCAATATTGTTTTTGTCACAGTTGACTGTGCTGTTAGAGCAGACACATAGCCAATTGTTTATGTTGTTGTTTAGGAGTGTGGCTCTGATGACACAGAGTTGGAGCAGACACAGTAACAGGCAGAAGGCTTGAAAATAAAGAGCACTTACCTTACTACATTGAGTAGAGCAGCCCTGGGCATGGGCCATATATTCAAGAGTTGTTTGTGACAATGCAGCAGTGCAGAGCTTAGAGGAGCTTGGTAAGGCTACCTTACATTCAGAGACAGACCCTTCAGTGGCTGTGTCTTATTCAATTCAATTCAATTATAACTAAGACAAGAAATATAATGTCACTACCTGATGCAACCCCCCCCCCTGAAAAAAAAGAAAAGCTGCCCAGTTATGGAACAGCCATCAATTTAGTGTTCGGGACTCAGACACACATCTCAGTCTTTACATTTAGGCAGAAAACACATTTGTATAGTCAAGCTCTTTGTTAATAGATTTACTCTTGGATAAAGGTGCAGATCTGGAAGGGCATAGAGGGTTTTGGTAAACTGGGATGTTTGGATGCTGTCACGCACCCCACACATTCACTCAGGTTTGTTGACAGTGGAGTGGTGAGCCGCTTTATGCCCCAGGGTGCCCTTATGCCTTTATTACCTTATGGCTCTCCCTTTTAGTTACACTTTCATAGCTAGTCCTTCCAGAGTCCCTGCTTATACTTTGGTATCTCAGGAATAACATCTACACATGTTATTCCTGAGATACCAGTGATCCTGACACCTTCTGCCTGATCCATACTGATGCCCTACTTCTGCTTGGAACCTCGCTTACCTGAAATGGATAGCCTACAGGTCACCATGAGAGTACTGTGGATGGTACCACACAGACACCTTAAAATTGGCTGTGGATGTTTGTCCTTGGATGGCCTAAAGACAGCAATTGCTAAGAACTGTTTATACTCAAGTCTTAATCATTGAACATTTCAATTAAAAGAGATACAAGATACAAAAGAACTTCATATACAAGAGACTTAAATTTAAAACTCTAATGATGCTCATACTCAGGTTCCTTTTAACAAACTTAGCACTGCTTGACTTTATAGTATGCAGTTATAGAAGAGAAATGATTTATAATATATATCTGTCACCCAGATGAGGATGGGTTCCCTTTTGAGTCTGGTTCCTTTCAAGGTTTCTTCCTTTTGTCACACTCATTAGAGACCTTTTTTTGACTATATAGTGCAGAATACAGTATAAGAATGCAGTTGTGTAAACAGGAACATATGAGCAACTGAATTCATTATAGTTATATATAATAATAATAATAATAATAATAATAATAATAATAATAATAAGTTTATTTTATATAGCGCCTTTCTGCACACTCAAGGTCGCTTTACAATATGGCAACATGACAGTAGACAAAAAAACAAGAGACAATAAAAAAAAAAATCCATGGCATGAATCAGGTCATACAGTCAGATCAGAAAAGTAAGAAAGAAAAAGATGTGTTTTAAGGTGGGTTTTGAAATCCTGTAATGAAGAAAGATCACGGATATTTTTGGGAAGAGAATTCCAGAGTGTGGGAGCAGAGAAACAAAACGCTCGTCCACCAAACGATGCTAACCTGTGGCGTGGAATTAAC